TGGTAAGCCTATGGCACTTACACTGAAATGGGGACTTTGCAAACAGATCTAATTCTGTGCATTTAGCCCCTGACTTGAATAAACCAAAGTGTGCTTCCGTTATACTATAATTGTAGATTTCAATAATGTTTTATAACTTATGGAAATGCCCTTTTAATATTAAATTGAAAAACTTTAAAGTTGCTAATGATCCAGTTCCTTAACTGAACTTCTCTGCTCTGCTTACCCTTCTCTTCCTCACTGTACTACTTACATTTTTAAAATGTCAAAATCAACAAGTGAAACTGCTTGTTCTGCAAAACCCACAGACAAGTGTAACAACCTGGCAAGGCCGTTTATGCACAATTTCTGAAGTCTGGTTGATGTTATAAAAACTGCTGCATTGGGAATGCCTCAGTGTGTGTGGAAAAAAAATAAAAAAAATCACCATTCGCTGTCAAGGCTGTTTCACTATCTCTCAGATCAGAAGTACTAGAGGATAGTTAAACTTTAATGGATATCATGTAAGCCCACAGACAATAGGATGGCTGTCACACAGGAGTAAAAAAGATGAAATCAGCTTTCTCTAACTTCCCTGCAGGTGCTGGGATGTCCAGCTATAGAATTTTCAGAAGAACAAAGAAACAAAGATGTCTGAGACACTAAGGAGGGGGACCAGAGACACATGAAGGTTAAGCAGAAGGCAGGGGGATACTTTTCTACTGGGGGGGTGGGGGTAGAAATCTTGTTTAATTGTGGAATAAACTAAGGAAGAAGGTAACTGGCTGCACAGGAAAGAGACTATATTTTTCAGAGACAATGTGTAGATGGGAGATCCTGGGCTTCTTAGAGGACGCAGGCCAAAGAACATTCAAGACTGGTAAGAAACCTGAGGCAGAAAAATACATATGGTGTGTATTACCTTGTCTAGATGGGTATATTGCTGTGCTAGCTAATGTGAATAGCTGAGAACACTTACAAGGTCTGTGTGCTGGTTCTCTTTCAGTTTGTGGCTACTAGGTTAGAGATCTACAGAGGCTAGGGGCAAGATCTGTTGTTGCAGGGTAGCTGGACCTCTCAGTCCCACTACTGGAAAGGGTTAACAAAAAGACTGTGCCCTGCTAGGACATCAGAGGTGTGAAGGCAGAACAGTGTGGTGGCTTACTCAGACCAAAGGAATCTCAAAAGCACACATGAGTCTAACATATTGGGACCCAGATGCTGTAGCCTGGTGAATGTCCAGCTGAGAAAGATCTACTAGGGTGGTAGCATAGCTGATTACACGCCATGCATATTTTGCAATATGTCTATAAATCTTTTGCTGGTACACTCCTTTCAGTGAAGTAGAAGGGCCTACATACAGTCACATAAATAATACCAAGCTAAGTTTTTGTTTCTCCTCAACAGGTAGCGTTATAGATACCTGCGAAGTTACTGTCGCACAACCCTCGCTTAGGGAAGTGGATTATACTGTCAGCACCGTGAACATAACATGCAGTTTCTCTGCTTCTGGATGCTCTGGATCCGCTCAAGTTCTATGGTTTCGTTTTCTTGCTCATAAACATGAGGCTTTATGCACACCTTTGTGCACAAACACTGGCAAATTCAAAGTGACTGAACCATCTAAGAATAATGTTTCACTTCAGATCAGCCATTTGACTGTAAATGACAGTGCTGTTTATTTCTGTGGAGTAGCATTTTCACAATCATTTTCACCCACCTCTAAGCAAACCGGGGAAGGTACAATTCTGGTGGTAAGAGGTCAGTCAATCACTACTTTCTATAGGAATACCCTAAAAGCCAAAATATTCTCTTCACTTATTTAAACATGCAAACATGGTCCATGAATTCATTTACTAGAAATTAATAGTAATTAAAACTGCAAACAGGGTCATGGTACCACCTAAGCTATTTCAATGAAATATTGGTATCAATAAGAGTTCTGTATTTAGAGCCAAGATAGAATACCTCCCTAGTTTTAGTGGTAAAGCTAATAATAAGCATTTTTTTAATGGTTCACTAACAGGGGGCACTCTTACTTGTGCTCCAAGTGTGGGCCACTCTAATTAAAGCGTTACAGTGTCTCACATATCAGCCTCCCCGCCCTTCGAAACGGTGGCAGCAGCACTTGAGTTAAAGCTTGTTCAACGAGCTTTAGTTCAAGCACCCCCGCCACCATTCCGAAGCACGGGGGTGCCGATACATGAGACGCTGGAGGCCATGGGAGCGTGGTAATTACCACACTCCAGCAGACTCAATTAACTGGGTCTGCTCCAACGTGCTGTAATTACAGCACGTTGGAGCAGCCCCGCAGCACATTTACAGGCACCCAGGATGCCGTACCCTCATCTAAACGCGAGTGATCCTCAGGAAATATTCTAGGAGTAGCCCATAAGATTTGTGCACTGCATCATACTATTTGTTCAATGTCAAAACTGCACGCAGTCTGCAACAAATTGCATAAGGGCATGGGTTTTGTCTATCCAAAAGGAAATCATATAATGAGACAGACGCAGACTAAAAAAAGACTTCTGTTGAGAAACAGCCATATTCTGGAAAAACTGTATCTACTGTATCTAGAGGAGGACCCTGGGACAAGTTCACTATGTGACCAACATTTTCATTTCTGTGCCTCACTTTCCCACTTTTAAAAAACTATTTGTGTTACCAAGTTATGGACAAAAAGCAAAGCAAAAGCAACCCTCCTCTAAAACCCCACGACACTCCCATCACCAAAAGACCTAATTAAATGGGTCCTCTCCTAAGAGCTTCATTTTCTGTGTACACACATGCTGAGATATACTCCCTGTATTCCAAAATAAAAGTTCAAGTAAACATGAATTTTTCAGACGTTCCTTAGGAGTCAGATTCTAGACCAGAAGGCACAGGGATTTATGGAGGACAAACTTAAGTTATGATGCATCTGCAGTTCCTAGCTGATCAACAGAAACATTGTAATTTAGGTATCAAAAATGAAAGAAAAAAAAAAATCAGCACCAGGAGGTATTAATCTATTAATAATGTGTGTACAGCATTTAGTTCCTCAGCTAAATAGGGCTTTGGTACAATGTATTATTTTTACTAAAAATATCATGCAAATAGAAACAGCTATACATCATTCTAACACTTTTTTTTTTTTTTATGAATAGAAGGGACTGGAAAGAGCTACACTGAAGAATACACCCTCATGATAGTCCTCTCATCCTTACTGTTTTTATACAACACCACCATACTTTCACTATTTATAATCTACTATAAGGTAGGTTTAAATTTGATTTTTCTGAGTTTTCTCCCACTTTTTAAATAACTTGCATGTTTTCTATTTGGAAGAGCCAAGGGCAATATTGGTTTGCAGCAGCATTTGCAGATGAGTTTTACGTAACACACAAATGCCCCCAAATCCTCATTATAACTGATCTCCGCTATTTACAAGTTTTTAAAAATAATTATAAAGGGGGACGATAGCATTATTTAGTTTAAAGAAAAAAGATCTAACATCAGTTACCACATCAGACCTGTGGATTTATTTCTACTGGTAAACTAGTAACAGAATTTATATAGACATGTGTGCAAGCTGCAGTGAAATAAACACTAATAACAAAATTTAAGATTTCCTTTAAAGCAATTTAAGTGCCATCATAATTGGTACTTGGGACTTAAATGACCTTGATAAAAGTTACAGAGATAATAAATTCTTCAATGTTATCACAGGGCAATGCATTTAGCAGTACTACAGCATTACTTCAGTTATTAGTTGGAATTTAAAGCTCTGTAAGTAACTATGACATTTTCTTGCAGTCAAAATCTAAATTACTGAAGAAAACTGAGAGAGAAAATGAAAATGGAGAGCAACATGTATGTTAATATTGACTTCACTCATTTGGTGCATCTTCAACTTGTAGATTTGTTTTTTTTCCCCCCTTCTTTCAAATATAACTTTGAATATACATTGAATGTGGATTTAAGTTGGGTGACAAGCTTCAAATAAAGGGCTGGGAATCTATAGAGCTAATAAACCCTGTGGGGTTTAGGCACTGATGATTTCTAATCTAAGTTTTATTAAAAAAAAAAAAAAAAAGTATTTGTTGAATTCAAAGTGTTTTCTGTTCATCTATGGTTGGGGTAACTCTAGAAAAGCGATGTATATTGTAATGAGTTCAACACTAAGCATCTCCTCAAATGGGCAACTTGCTTTGTTCAGTTTTCAGTAACCTTAATATTACAAGTCAGCAACATATGAACTATCATTACAAAGCCAATCCTGGCTAGGACACCAATTTTCCCCTCTTGTCCTTTGTGTGGCAGTTTTAGGCTGTATTTAAAAATTCATATATAAAAAAAACATAAGCTCTGAAAAAGAGAGTTATTACTTATTGGAAAAGTTAATCCCAGTAAGGATTAATCCCCTTTTGACTACAGAATTAGGGTTACTCGTTTTTTTAGTTTGTTTGTTTTAAATTATAGTGATACTCATATTTATACATTTGATAATCCTCAAAAATTAAGCCACATACAAATAAAGAATTTGGTTGACTTTTAAGTTGGGGAAAAATGCATTTTTCCCCAAATCCTTTGCCAATATTTTAACTTTAACTACACACTTCAATTTACAGAAACATAACAGTGGACGAAGAGTTTTTCAAGCAATTGCACAAGAACTATACAGGAAGAGATATGCTGAAAACTGTCATCGGACTGTAAGTAACTAGTCCTATAAGAAAGTGTTTACCAAAATCTTCTGTTTATTGCTAGCAAACTGTATAGGAAACAAAACAGCAACTGTAATGTCAGAACTATATAATATTCCCAACAAAACAGATTTTTCCCCCTACTTGTTTAGAGTATTCTTCTGAGCAACAGTAAGTGACAGCACAAACAGGCTGCAATCAACAATTACTGGCCTTTTAGATGCTTTTGTTTTTACATGAATAGGAGAATTTACAGTCATTTTTCTCCAAGAACATTTATGCTAAATGTCTGTGTGCATGCACAACCTGCAAATGTAATCTATAATAATAATAATAGGCTTAGTCTGTCTGTCCGCAGCACTCCGATTGACTGTCTTGGCAGCGAATCACAATGTTTACTGAAACAACCAGCATGATCTGAACAGACAAACAGCAGGCTCTGCGGGGAGGGCGAGAGGCAAAAAAGCAGTGAAGGGCCTTTGGCTCCCCTCTCCTCCTCGGAGCCTGCCTGCCTGTCTGTCCCGCAGGGCAAGCTGCCAGTGGGCCCTGAGCTGTGGGGGGCCCTGGTGCTTCCTTCCATGACAGCGGTGCACCTGGGACTGCCCAGGCAGGGTGCCAGAGGACAGGTGCTGCCCGGGAAGTACCCCACAACTCAGGGCCTGCTAGCAGCTCACTCTCCAGCCATGGGAGATGCAGGCAGGCTCCAGGAAGAAAAAAAAGGAACAGGCACCTCACCTCCTCCCCAACCCTCAGTGGAGCCTGCCTGCGTGAGCTACCACCAGGTCATGGTGCCTGGTGCTTCCCTCCGTGGCAGCAGTGCTCCCTGGTGCCACTGAGGCAGCATGCTAACTGCTCAGGTGCAGCCTCAGCTCGCAGGAAGCACTCACTGAATTAAACGGCGCATGGGATGCTGGAAGCCCAGGCATGCTCAGGGAAGCTCAGGCTCGGTGGACTTGCAATGCACCATGCACCATCCCCGCCGCCTGGGACGGCGAGGCGGCAGGAGGTTGGCGGGGATGGTGCCTTTTGAAAGTGGGAAGTTTTGATTCCGTTACAGTATCCAGTCAAAGGATACGTAAAAATCCTGTATTTAAAAACAAACAAACAAACAAACCAACCAACCAACCCACCCAACACTTTTGCAATAAAAATTTAAATTACAAATGTTTCAGCTAGTTTACTATAAAGAGGTTGTGGATGATTATTTTACTGCATGTGCATGTATTTACTATGTGACTGCACAACTTATCACTTATTTATGACTGCATCCCCTGCCCTGTAATCTCTCCCACCTTGGATTTATTCTAACATGCTGATATCCCAAGCAGAAATAATTCATATATGCATACATGAACTTCCAGAGAAATGTTTCTTCATCTTCCCTGTAGTATTTTGGGAGAAATTACTATCAAGGGCATCAGGCAGGAATGAAAGTTTCTGTTCCAGACCAGCACAGCTATTCTAAATCTAACATCATGATTTTTTAAGTTTAATTTTTTGCATTCCTGAGGCACTAGAACTGGCAGCTATATCTTACCTGAGCATTGGGGGTTCTCCTCTTTCCAAAGAAGTAGTCATCACGCTAGCCATGACATTAATCTTAACTACTTCTCTGGAACTGAGTATAGTTGGGCCCTTGGTAATGGAAAGCTGTGTGCGTCAAGTGGAGGGATATAAGAAATAGTCCCAATAAAGTTTTGAAAAGCTCTAAAAACATTTTTTCTTTAGCACTGCATAAAAGCACTCAAGTTATTTCACACCAATAAAAACAAAACGGGCTGTTCCTAGTGCCACAAAAATTACAGAACCACACACACGTATACTTCCAATTGAGAAAAAAATCTCCTGAATTCATACTGCAGAAGCAATAAAACCCCTTTCCTATTCTAACCAAGGATCAAAACATTTAATAGAAAAATACAATGAAACAGGCAAGCAGTGCTGACAGGTCAAACAAAGTCACCCCTCCCCTCCCTCAAAACTGAATTTTATTTGTTTCCAGGCCCTGAACATTTTCTTTTAATAACTGCCCCCCCTTCTCCTTGCCTCCCTCCACCCAGATAAAATTGGTGGCTTGTATTTGCTCTGAATGGCAGATGCACATAGCTTAAATCAAATATGTATGTGTCTCACTATAAGCTCCATGGGGGCTGTATTCAAAGACAATCAAAAGCGAATTAAGAAAGGCTGAGAATGCCACAGATGCCATGTGCATGAAGGAATCTGAATATAAAACACAAAGAAGGGGAAGAAGCATCTTTAAAGAGTATCAAAGTTGGGCAGGGGGGACAGCAGGGAAGCTTGCCTCTATGAGGCAGTCTTTTTGTATGGAACAGTTTTGCTCATTTTAAAACATTGAAGCTTTCTATATTTTTTTTCCAGGAGATTTTGGGAACAGATGATGACAGCATTTATCAAAACAGATGAGAAAATTCAGCAGGTGTTTGAGATTTCTCAGTCAAAACCCAAGTCTTTTTCAACTTTCCTTCCAAAAAATAGATCCTTACTGAATGATGTTTTGGGGGAGGGGGGTTGTTTTTTGTTTTTGTAATATTGCTTCTGATTGCGTACTAAGAAAAATAAGCTGAACAGTGATAGGAAAGCATGTCTAAGTCCGCTCCTGCAAATGTAAATAAATACATTGGAAAGGGACTTCCATTGAAGAGCTGCTTATATTCCATGGAAATGTTCTTATTCAGAATTTATTTCTGCATATAAAAACAAAACAAAACAAAAAAAAACCTTTCTGTATTTTTTCATATGAATCTAATGCTAACATTTCAAGAACTTTTAGTAATTCAAGAACTTCCAACTCGGACAACACCCAAGGTCCATCTAGTCCACTGTCCTGTCCCCAACACAGGCCAGCGCCAGATATTTCAGAGGAAAGTGGAAACAACTTCCCTTCTCCAAAATCCCCCGTGGACAAAGTTAGAGACTAATCCACCAATAAGGCCAAGTTTCTTCTTAATCCCAGGCATTTAAAACTGGTTTCACTCTTGAAGTGTGGCATCTCATACACTTGCGCAGTCACTCCTATAATAATTATGCAATCCTTTATTTAATTCTAAACTATTTGCCTAGATGTAGTGTAGCTGCAAATTCTACAGGTTAACATTTTTTATTGGATAAACAATTCTTCTATACACACTACACAATACTTAATACAAGCATGGACAAAGTAAAACTTAACTACATAAAAACAAATTGTGGGCTTTTTTGTAATGCACTATGATTGATTGTTAAGATTCCCGTTTACTTCAAATGTTATGAATTGGCAAGATGCACAAATGTCAAGATAAAGTGATGAGATTGTATTGTATGTCTAACATTAAAATAGTGGTGTATTTCTCTCCAAGTCTCTGTGGAAATAACTTGTGGAAAAGCACTTTCCAACTCTAGATGTCACTATAATTCCAGAAGTAGCTAGCTAATAAAGCAATGTGAAAAAGGAAATATCCATTTCTTTTGTTTTCTCTGCAGTATAACATTTGTATCAATAGTTTCCACAACTTTTAATAACAAGGAAACAGGCTGTAGCAAGTATAGAGCATTATGGGATTTTTAAAGACTAAATTATTAATGAACACAATTTTAATTAAATTCTAATTTCAGGCTAAATCATAAAATACAAATCTGTAAGACCTTCTCTAAAGGGGCTCTTACCTTTTTCTAATAATTGACCAGGAATCATTAAAAGATATACTCTTTCTAGACTCCTCTCTATGTTTCAAGTCTTTGTTCTAAGTGCTCCTTTGCTCCCTCTTATGCATCATCTTACAAAAGAGCAGTGCTCACAGTTTTGGCCCTGTGGGGCAGCAGAATGGCATGGGGCTCTCCCTGCACCCCAGTATCAGGCCCTATACCACCTCCTGGGGCTCCCCATGGGATTCACAGGGAGGCCCATGGGCCGGATCACACAGTTTGAGACCCAGCTAGACTAAGCCTTGGCTGGGGTGATCTAGTCGGGGACGGTCCTCCCTTGAGCTAGATGATCTCCTGAGGTCCCTTCCAACCTTAATTTTCTATGATTCTATGACTGAGTACAACAGGGAGTGTTTTGTCAAAATTAGAATCTCTTTTGTTGGTATTGATCTCCATTGCCTGTAAAAATACTGTATCTGGGCCCCAAGTCTTGTGTATAAAATGTACTGAAAAGACAACAGACTGGAATGTGGGAAATGCTACCAACCAGTCTTCCCTAGTGACAACAATGTCTCTAAAACTGAAGTTTTGCACTTTTGAGTGAAGAAAACTGAATAAAGCTTTGCAAAATAAAGTTAATTAAGCAAGTAAGAAAGTCTTATTCTGTACCTGAAATTTTTAACAAATGACATGGCTCATAATACCGAGTGAGCTGAAACTGGACAGAGTCTGGATTAATGTTCATATAAATATTATAGTTATTTGGCCCTAAATTAGTTAAATTAATATTCAAGTCATAATTGTATTTTATGGACTGCTTTGCAAGAAAAAAAAAAAAATCAATTTGTCTAGGCTCTAACAAGTGATCTAAGAATCCAAGGTTCCTGCTTTCTTGTCACTTGATAGGCCAAATAGATTAATTTTAAAAAGTTTCTTCTCTCCCCCACCCCTTCCCTTTATGGGTTTAGGAAAATATTTTTGGGTATTTAACTGTGGGGCATAACTTATTAAAAGTTTGTACCAGATTGGAATAGTTTTTTCCCCATCAGAAGTTTGCATAAGTTAAAGTCCAAAAATGGAATTTACTCTATGTTCTAAAACTTAACACAATTGAAACTATGTGCCTTTCACAACAAGATAGGTGCTCTTTGCTTAGTGGCTATTTGTTTGCAACTCACCTGTAACATTTCAGAAAATTAAAAACACGGAACCAGAAACACTCAACTCTTATGTTCACAAAACAGCTTTCTTAAAATAACACAAACACCTCCCCACCCCCACATATCCAAATGTACATATACATTAAAGGAGATACCTGAAAGGGGTCAGAAGGACATATAAAAATGCTGCTCATGGCCACTCGATGGTGGGTAACAAACTTATTGGAAACCCTGCTGTCTGAAACTAAGTATCTATTTTGCCTCAGGTCACCAGCCCGAGGAAAGCTCGTCCTTGACAGCAGTATAGAAATGCTGCTCGGTGAATGGGGCAAAGTGGAAGCAGCGACTTCCAGTTGGTGATTGTACCTGCAAATGAGAACATGCAGCTGCCAGGAGCAGTCCCCCCCACCTTTTTTTTTTGCTCATTCCCCTTCTCCCCCAATTCCGCCCCCCTCCCCCAACTAGGGGGAAGCAGTTTCCCCTATCACCCCCCCCCACTCTCTAGTTATGCCACTGGTTTCTAGTTTACAAGGTGTCAAACAGCAGATTCCTACTTCCAATAAAAAAATACCTTGAAGTTCTACATTCAGGGAAGAGTTCCACTTCCACTAAATATTAGGTCATTGATGCACAAGGAAGTAAAAATATGCTCTTGCATTTGTCCCTTCTTCAGTATCTCCAGAATTTGCATTAAATTTTATTGTGCAGTTGCCCAATAGGCTGTAGTCAGAAGAGGTGAATGCAGGAAAGCAGATCCTGGATACCACTGATTGCAAAATACAGAGAAGTTGAATACACATGTACAATTCTAAAAAGGTATATAACAAACAGAATAATACTCAGTCACTGTTTCAATCTAGAACATAAGGATACTGCCAGAGAGACTATTCTATGTTTCATTATTCACTGGAATCTTACAGAATTTTTAGGACAGAAAAACAAACCTTTTCACCTTAAAGGCCATAAGAAATTGTGTCCAAAATGTCAAAATGCATTTAAAATGTTGTATAGGTTTTTACAAGACTAGTTTTGCCCCCTCCCAGCAAAAAAAACAACAACAAACAAACAAAAAAACAGATTTAAATGTTACTGATTTAAAAAAAACACTTTATACACATTACAGGCCTTCATATATCATTTTAATATGCATATGAAACCATGATCTATTTTCAAAACTTCAAGGAAAAAGGAAATGTAATTAATGTAATAATACTACAGTCTTGCATTCATTCTTGCATTAAGTCAAAAACCTTTTCTAGTTTTAGTTTTCATACCTTGAATGTTACAATGACACCAGAGTATGTTATCCTACAAAAGCGAAAAGGATCTTTTTTGATGCCCTTATGGTCTTCAGGATGACTCAAGTAGTTAAGCTTGCCACTGACAGCATCTGATCAGAGATGCCCCACAAGTGGCAAAGTCAAAGCAGTGTCCAAACTTACGCACCTGAAAGGATGCCTAAATATTTTCAGAAGTGCTGAACACCCACAGCCTCTCAGTCAACCCCTGCGGGGTGCCTTACACTGGCACACAAAAATTGAGACCGAAAACATAAAAATAAAAATCGCTAGTCACTTTTGAAAATCTAGGGCACAATGTTTACAAACATTGAAAGAAAAGCTTTTTCAAGTATAACCAGTTTTCAGTCACTTCTCCAAACTCAAAGATGATTGAAAGGTCATTCTAGATCCCTCTAATATAAAATCAAACAAACATTAACCACAACTTATACCAGGGGTGGGCAGAAAAGGCCCATCAAGTGATTCTGTCCAGCCTGCAGTGGGTCCCTTGGCCCCATGTGGCACAGGTGCAGGGCAGCCCAGGACATGGTGCGAGTGGCTGCCCTTGGGTGTGAAACACAGCCCACCCAGTCCCTGAGCACAGCTCTTAGGCATACCAGGAGCTTGTAATCTGTGGGGCTGGAGCAGTGCAGCATCTGGACTTGGCTTCCTGGCAGCCCCCGTGGCAGCAGCTCACTCTTGCCCTCACATTCTGGCTGCTGCTGCCACTATCTCTGTCATCACTGCCAGACCCGGTCCCACTTCCTGGGCACCCTGGCCCATCTGCTGGACAGCACACATAGGTGGGGTCTTTCTTGACACTGGCCTGGGACCCTCAGCTAGGTGGATGGGATGGGACCACGGGCAGGCAGGGAGCAGCATCATGGCAGGGGGGAAGTTTGGAGGGGCATGGCCAGGGCCAGAGTCATGATCAGCTCCCTGCATGAACCTGCAATGGATGTGCAAGGAGCAGATTGTGGCTCTGCCCTGGGCCCCAGCCTCGCACTATCACTGCCCCACAATCCCAGCCCTGGCCTAGGCCCCACCCATCCATCCTGCTCCTGGACACTGCTCCCCACCCTCCCACTGCCACATCTCATCTGCCTGGCTGAGCATGCCCTATCCACAGGGGTCCCAAGCCGGTCTCAGTAGGTACCCACTTGCGCATCCACTCTGTCTAGTGTCCTCAGCAGTGGGTGCAGGGCAAACCAGGGTGGATAGGGTCAACTGGCATCTTCCCAGAGTCATCCCCACCCAGTGGTGTAAACAGCCATGATGGGAGGCTGAGGCCAGGTCAGCACACCCCCTCCCCACTCAACAACTCACCAAAACTCCTTAAGTGGCCCTCCAACCCAAATAACTGCCCATCAGAATTATAGAAAATGGTAACTGTTTTAGTTGCTGCATACTCTGATGCCAAAATTGCATTACTTTCCTATGCATTTCAAGATAGAATTCAAACCACTGACACTGACTGACAGCATTCTAAACAGCTTGATTCTAACTGCTCAGAAGTTATTTTCTCACCTTATGTGGTGCTGCTCCCTGTGTATGGAGGCTGGGTTCCTAGTATCATGATCTCAGCAGAGCACCCTAGAATTGACTACCCTCTTTGTTTTGATACAGCCTGAGCATGGCAGCTTTCAGGACGTGGTGTATGACCCATGTATTTGCTCAAACTTTGGATGAGGATAGTGAATAAGCAGTCAGAAGCTATAGTGATAGATTAATCTTAAGTTGAACACATACTTGTATTTAATTTTTTTTTTTAATTGTAGAAGCACTTAAGGAACAAAAGACAAGCACATTTTAAAAATGTAATGCAGAAATGTAAACATAATTATATTAGGAGGCTCTTAATTCAAGACACAACCTGAAAACCCTTCCCCAACCTCCCGAAGTATCTTTGGTCTGTCAACTTACCATTTTCCACATATGGATGAAAGGGCAGAACTAATGCTAGAATGACTCTGCCTCTAGTTGGCTCCAGAACACTTCTAATATCTTTTAAAACAGTCAGTGGCTGATCACAGCGATCGAGTAAATTCAAGCAGCTAATAACATCATACTGGAAACCTGTGTTCTGCCACTCATTTATGCCAAGCACTCTAAAGAGAGAAATACAGAAAGTGTTTTAATAAAAACTGCAAACTGAACCCAAGGTCTCAGAGCTCTTGCTCCCTAGAATGACTGGGAAGAAGAGAATTCCCAACGGATCAGGCTGACCTAACATGCATCACTGGCATGCTGTCATAAGAGAACATGCAGATAAGAATTTTTTATGCCTTTTAAAAAGACAGTTGAATTTTTCCACAAAAAAACTTTAGCAGGTCTATACAATCTACTGCACACGTTTTAGTTTGGATCTCTCTCTCAAAGATTGGTTACATCAAATCTGCTTACACTACTGTTTAACAATAGTTAAATGAACAGCGAGTTCTCTCACAAATCTACTCGAATATCTGTCTTATTTAAAGCATAGGTAGTCTTAGCTTGTTCAGATATCCCCCCTTTTGGGAACTGGGGTTCAGTCTGTTTCCCCACAGTGCCCTCACATCTCAGAGCTGTCGGTCTTAAATCTGTTTTCATTTCCCTGAGTCTCTTGAACTAAATCAAGCTGGCGTATGCTCGCCATGAAGCTGGAATTATTAAAAATAGGCAAAGTTGTTCTGATATGTGGGGCACGTCAGACAGGAAAGCAAATAACACCTATATGTGCAGGTCAAGCTATTCCCAAACTACCCATTCATATAAGCAAGCTATACAGTGACAGACCAAACAAGATTCTTAAAATACTAGACAGCTCCCACATTCTTTACACTAAATATTACTAAGTAATATATTTATTATAATACCTGTATTTCTTTTTCTGAAGCTGCCATATCATAGTTTCAGACAACTCAGTGGCATAGATTTCTTCAAAGTGAGGACTCATGACCTTAGTGACCTCTCCATCTCCAGCTCCTAAGTCGAGAAGTCTTTGGGATTTCCATTCTGGGTTTATTTTGAGCAGTCTCTGAAACTGTTCTGGTGAAAACACAAACATTGAGCCTCTTCCCAGCAGCCTGAAATGTAAAAGATTAAGAAGTGTTGGATTTTGCACAAACTTTAAAGGAGAGGACATTGGAATAATTTATGGAGTGCAATAGAAGCATCCAGCATTTAACAATCACATAACAGACAATGCTCCCTGCTTGGCAGAATTTACAATTTAATTCAACCTGTCTATTGTACTTGCCTGAAAACTCAAATACATACATACAAGGTGGTATCTGCATACGTTTATGTGGGCTTTACGGAAGATCTGATGAGGGGAAAGAAGGTTTATGGAAAAGAGGTGCTACTTTAGAAGACTCCACAAGAAAACAAGGACAAAGCCAAAAATGGGAAGAAAAGACAAAGGACAAATCCAATTTGTTGTATTTGAATTAGCAGACCAACTGATCTCAGCATTAAATTAACTCTGTGCCTAAGGTGAGCAGGACTTAGCCAAAATGTTCAGATAGGAGAGGAAATAGGAAGTGAGAGCAGAAATGTAAATAGGCACAAAGAAGGATGAATATGCTGTGAAAAAGGACTAAAGAGGACTGAAGAGCAAGTAAGGGTGACATTGCTGCAGCAGTGGAAAGACAAAGGGTTCTTTTTTAAAACCATACAAAATAATGATTCAGTTTTGGGGATCCCTGCTAATATCTGATGACTCCCTGTTGGACTGGATAGGGTGTATAATACAAAATGAACAATTCATTAAGGACTTGGCTGCTGGACAGTTGACAGTTGGATTCTTTGTGGTTCATGTCAATGACCTCCTGCTATTGTTTGCAGGGCATATATTATAAGATTTCAGCTGTTGCAATAGAAGGGCTGAGGATGAAAGAGTTAGGAGGGAAGGCAAGGGAAAAAGAAGAAGAATCAGTCAATAAGAGGTACAAGGGAGATAAAGAACATTATGCTGGGCTACCTTTTGTCTGAAATACCAAACCTACCTTCTTCAGGTCTGAAGTCAAAATTAAGACAATGATTAATACAAATAGGCCACAACAGCTGAGAAGAGATTTATAAGAGTGAATAAGGCAAGGATTTATGATCAAGAGTAATGAAGAGAATAAGCAGTGCAGGTGAGGAAGTAGTAAACCTGGGAAACGCCAAATTTTCTGAAAAAAGGATACATACTTAATAAAAAGTGATACAGGGAAAAAAACCCATCAGTTAAATTTCTAGCACAGATGCCAAGGGAAGATATTAAATATAGAGTACAGCCCATTTATGTAGAACCCCCTTGCAGCACATTGTGTCAGCCCCACTGCATAATTGGCTTATGGCTATTATTCCTGAAGGCACCAAGAGGCATCATTCAAAGCAGTTGAAAGCCTTTGTAAAAAAGACAGATGGAACAGGAAGAAAAAAGGGGGGAAAAGGAGGAACCAAAGTGACCTTTATCTAAAGGTAAAAGTAACTGAAGAACTCGACAGGAAAGCTCAGAGAATCAGCTGGTGGGAAATAAAGAAAAAGGCTATTTGCTAGCCATGGTAGCTGGTTACTGTCCTCAAATCAAGGGTGTATATGTGCAAAGGGAAGAGGGAAAAAATATCAAGCATGTAGCTATAATAAATTCATTCTTCACAGACAGTCAGAACTGAGGTGAAACTGCGCATGCACCTGAAAGGGATGGATAGGAAGAGAAGAGACTGCAGCATTAAAGGAATTTCATGTGTTCTGCAAAAATAAGGGTAGCAACTGTTTCTAGAGTCTGGAATTTGGGTTCACAAGAAGAGCAGTTTTGCACACAGACTAAATTCTGTTCAACTTTACACCTCCCTGAAGCCCATCCCAACTAATCCAGGAAGAGCCCAACAAAATAATCCCACCAATTAAGCCTCAAAGTACCTCAGACAGAGGAAAAAAAATAGGGTTCTAAAGGGGAAGCAATGGTCTAGCACAAGTGGGCAGCACATATTCACTGCGCTACACTAAGTCCAACCCATAAACTTTAGGATTCTGTTTAACTATTCAGAGGCTGCATAAAGATACTCCTGGATATATAACATTTAAAATACACACAAAAGAAAATTATTTTTTATGGAAAAGCTGAAGCTCTGGTTTTACTTTGTTTTACTAAAAACTGAATGATAAAAAAGCTACATTGCAGGCATATGAAAATAATTATTTGTAAAATAGGTTTTGGAGTCTGACTGTGTGGTAACTATCCACAATATATTAGATTTGGACCATATTTCTGTATCTACTTTTCTGCAGCTAGCAAAACTACAGAGGCAAGGAACTCAGCCTCCAACAGAAAGTTACACATAAGGGAATTTTTTGATTGCTCTGAAGTGACCTCTCCAGAAAATATAACAGCTACCTGGATGAGCCAGAATGCAGAGATGGTTTTATACAGCCATCTTCAACTAGGAAAAAAGTCATCACAGCTCTAAGGGATGGTAAGCAAAGCAAAAGAGGAGTAAATGGAAGGAGGGGAAATAACTGGTTGAAGAACTAAGAGAGCACCCCCATTCCAATGGGAATTTGAGAAGCAGTGGATAATAGCAGTATTTATGTTGGGATAAACTGGGAGTCCTATGATCCCCTTTTGTTAACTGGTGTATATTTTTCCCCTCTTGAATTTAAAAAGGCATGACAGAATTTCTGATCTGTCAGGCTGTGATAAGAGTAAAAGTGTAAACATTTAAGTGAGGTTAGAAAATCCTGACTGAATGTACAGATCAAATGAGTCACATAAAAGTGGTTCAGAGGTGATTCAGTTGACAGAATGAAGAAAATCAAGCTAAGCATATCTTGGAAGAAAATCAGCAACTCTGTAGAGCAGGACATCAAAGGACTGAGCACCTGGTGATCTAAACCTGGAGTTTCTGGGCCAATATACGTTTACAAAAAAGGGGACCAAGTACATCTTCTTCACTTACCCATTGATAGAGGTCCTAGACATAAAGAGGCTAAAAATTGAGGACACAAAAGAGTGATAGAGCTGGATAAAGAGCCAGCCTGACTTCTCAATGCTGTTGTTTAAGAAGATCTGTGTTCCTTGGTCAAGGTAACTCTGGACAAAAATAGGCTGAAGGGATTCAGACAACTGCTCTGTGTTGCACACATACCACTAGAAAGAAAGAGAAAGGAACAATTTAAAACTTGAGCAATACAAAAAACAAACAGTAGTTAAAAACTGCTGAATTCATAGAAGACTGATATTAATCTGTTCCATAACTTTGAACATTTAGATTTCAAGATTAATTTAGGTTTGGGCTGCAATAAAATGCAGGTAGATTAATCCTTAAGAAACAATTATTTTAAACTGTGTTGTAATCATTATTCTTATTAACTTTGAACAGTTATTACACAAGTGTCTTCTATAAAAAAAATATATTGCATCAACGGACTTTTCTACACAGCTGCCAGCACTGTAGAAACAACATGAAGCTGAGAAATATTGCTGCCTGTTTACTAATTCTCTCTCTCAACCTTTCATGGAGTCTCCTCTTGGAAGGAGTCCAGGATGTGTACCCTCAAGTCTTTCTAGGAAAGGAAAGAATCTAATCAATATAGCCAAGGCGTACTTCATACACTGAACATCAAAATACACTCGCTGATCAGGATCAGGCTTAACTTTGAACCTTCCCAGCCTGATCATTATCCTGGTTATACAAGACTAGGAAGAATGAGCAGATGGGAGTGAATGGGGAAGGAGACACTGCCAGGGAGAGGAGATTAAACAAAGCAGGAACACCAGGAAGAACAACATACAACGCTTTGACTCAGATCATTGTCACATCTCAATTTCTTGCCTCAGCCCTCGCTGCATACAATTCCATCCATCAGGAAAAGGAGTTGGGCGAGGGTGTGAAAGTAGTCATACCACTGAAGCACCTGATGGCTCAGAATGGAAAGGTGTGTCCAGATGCAGAGACTCAACTCCACAAGAAAAATGTACCAACATTATGCATTATACAATCACTCCCATCTGACTGACGGCACAAAGTGAGGCCCCTGCATACTCAGATTTACACTTTACCAAAGAGCATCCATGGTGGGCCCAGAGCACCATCAAATCTGCACACCGTATGTACTCCTCTTGCCTACTCCCAAAATGCAGGCCATCCACAGTGTATGGCCACAGAGTCTCATCAAGGACTCAAATTGTTGAGGAACAATTTTTCTCCACTGCTTTCCTGAAGGTACTACTATAAAGACACATATGGCACTGCAAGTTATGCTCAAGCTACAAGGCAATCATGTTTTGGAATAATGCTTGCTGTCTGCATGAGGTACAAAACAGCAGCGGTGAATGCCAGTAAAATTAGATATTTTATAAAACTGATTGTCTGAATTGCACTCAACTGTTATTGCAATAAATAGCCATACAAGAAAAATCTACCTTGGCTGATTAGATTGTTTTCCTCACAAATGCTGCATGTCCACTACTTTGTCATTGAAGAGCTGTCCTCAGCCGGAGACTAAAACAGTTTTAATGAGTGTCAGTCAGGTCTAACAGTCTCATTAAGAAGCTACTAGTGAATCTGATAAGAGAACATTTTTTCCAAAAAACTATGCAACTGTGGGAAACAGACAAAACTGTTAATCAGATTCTTTACCACAAATATTCTTGTGCATCTTATTCAATTTTAAAAGGGCTGAATGCAGAGCTGACCCGAGCAGGTTGTGGGGCCCAGGTCAAATCAGCCCATGCGGGGCCTCGCCCCTGCTCCTATCCCACAGCCCTGGACCCAAAGAAGCTGCTGCCACCATCAGCAGCAGCAGCAGCTGGGGAGGGGGTAGCGAGTGGCTAGATGCGGAGCCACCAATCCGCCCAACTCCATGCCACCGCTGCTCTGCCCTGCTCCACAGCCCGGCCCCCCCCCGCCCCCCAAAAGGCAGGGCCCGGGGCAGTCACCCTGATTCATTGCTCTCCCCACCCCCCCAGGATGGCCCTGGCTGGATTCATCTCTCAGCATGTCCTCAAATATAGGAAACTAGCTAAAAATAATATAAGGAAAGACAGTAGAATAATTTAGTGTCACCCCACCCAGGAACCTAACCAAGCAAATATAGTGGTATACCCTAGTGGTGCCCAACTCATCTGGCTCCACAGGCCTGATCCAGTGCATTGAGTCAGTCCGTGGGCTGCAAAGCTCCAGATGGGTCCAAATTTGGAAGCAGGTTAAGCAGCAGCAGCAGCTTTAACGGCTGTGGTTCTGGGAGCAATGGCAACTAATATTGCCATTGCTCCACCACCAAAATTCTGGACAAATGGGGAGCCCCATGGGCCAGATGACATGGCTCTTATGTGGCCATATCTTTGTCATCCCTGCTATACCCAATAGCCTTGCATTAGTGAGGGAATACAGTCTTTAACTCTCTGGGATGCATCCATACGAGCAGGCAAGTATGGTTTGTGACACTGCAAAACTTTGTGGCACCACAAACCGCATGTCTGGAATGTTAAAAAGTACTCTATGCTGCAAATTTGCAGTGCAGGGGGCAAATCCAGGTAGCAAAAAATGTAAAGTGAACAAAAAGCAGCAAGGCGCACATGACAGGAGTGTGCGCTGGCAGGCACAGAAGCTTGGTCCTTCAGGGAGATGCTCTGGCTCCTGGCCAGAGCATCTCCACTCCTTCAGTTGTGCCCCAGCTCCTGCAGCATGCTGGAAGCCAGGAGTGCAGAAAGGGCAGTATGCCAGAAGTGGGGCAATTTGCCCCACACCGAAGTGCATGTGTATGATAACTTATTTTAATTTTATTTTAAAAATATTTTTGTCCCGATTTATGTGCCTATCCCCTCCTTATCTGAGTTTCTGCTCTCAGATGGAAGGAGTGCTGGGGAACAGCCACAGGGTCCCAGGCCAGAAGGCTCTGCTAGGCAGAAGCTTCTGGTTGGAAGGTGGGGGGAAGTGGGGTGGGGTGGGGGCTGGCAGGCTTTGCTCCTTGTCACTGCTGGATCCGGCTGCTGGCTCCTCCTGTTGCTGGCGCCGTGTCAGCTTTGACAGGCGTAATAATTTTCTAAATTTTAGAGGGGCCCCGAGGGCCAAACAGAATGGCCTGGTGGGCCGGATCCAGCCCGTGGGCATTATTTTGCTCACCCCTGCTCTATGTTGAAATGCTGCAGCAGCAGAAAATATGACTATCTGATAAAATTCTAAAAAAACAGCTCATGTGGCTGCCTCCCAGATTTGTTTTAGCAGAAAGACCACTTTTTCTGGACATGAAGACAGTGTTCCCCTTGCAAAATGAACTTTTACCCCATAAGTAAAAAGCCATCTTTTTCAGATGCTGGTCCCAACAGGCAAGCTATTTTCCAGGTAACTCTAGAGCAGGGGTGGGCCAAATGTGGCCCACCAGACCATTCTATCTGGCCCACAGGGCCCCTAAAAAATTTAGAAAATTAATATGTATCTGCTCCTGCCTGCCTGTCATGTGGCCCTCAATGGCTTGCCAAAACTTAGTAAGCAGCCCTCCACCCAAAATAATTGCCCGCCCCTACTCTAAAGCAATTGGATGCACTTTTGCTTCCAACTCTGGAATCAAAAACAGTAAAGTTGCCATTATCCTGATGCTTGTTATTTTGACTATGATATATTTTAACTACTCATCTAACATCTACTGCAGCTTATGATGAGCTTCAAGCAAGGAACTTGGGTAAAACAAAGGACTACAGGAATCTTGTGTTTAGTAAAGAAACATGGACTTTTGGTGCAACTGCAGTGGATGTCTATAAGAGTATTTTCTATAGACATAGATCCAAAATGGCAACTCTTGTCCCTGAGCTAGGAGCAATCAATCAGGAATGACAATACTGATTTTATAAACTCCAAAAGTTGCCCTGCTATAGCTGGCAACCTCAATCATAAATCCCATGCAGATGTTATAACAATTTTGCCGACCTCAAGAATCATGCAATCATCCAGAGCACAAGGCCAGGGCTCTCCATTTTTCTGAAATCACAGTTTCTGTAATTGAGACACCTTGTACCTACAAATTAATACAAAGACATAATGATAGCCCTGCCTTTAAGAAACTCATAGAGCCTACAGTATCTATTTTGTGATATTAGGCACTGTTGCCTTTAACCAGAACTCTCTTCTGTTAAATCTCCCCTTCAGATGTCCCTATAAATAGTTCAAAGAATAAGCTGTTCATCAGATGAAATTAAGTCACACTGGTCTCCATTTAAAAACAGTTCAAGTCTCTGAAGATAGAGACACCTTTCTATTAGAATAGACTTCATACCCGCAGTGAGGCTAATTACTGCTTTACCTCTCTCTGTGCATACACCCAAGGAGACAGAGCAAGAACGATCCAGACAGAACCATCCGGCAGCAAAAGCTGGTGATTGCACACAAAACAGTAAGTTGCCATGGTGAGTGGAGTCATAAATACTTGTAATTTGAAAACTGAACTTGTCACATCTAAGGTAGGAAAAAGTTATAAAATAGGAGCATGTAAACATGCAGTTTGTCTCAATAGGCAAACCTGACAAGATGCTTCCTGATGTCTCCTGGATTTAGAGTCCAGGCCCCAACACCTGAGATCAAGCCACTAATATAATATGTGCCACATTTATACAGCTTGACCTCAAAACTTAGATTTCTTCCTGGTGTTTGCTTTATTTAGAGAAGCACGCAGCCTGTCACTCAAAGTCTGAGAGAGACGCATGTATTTTGCACATTTATTTTTTAATTTAAATATTTTAAAAGATAAAAAGTTTTGGCTTTAATGCTATATCAAACTGTATTGAAAATAATTTATTTATAGAAAGTATGTGATTGCAGAACCACTTGTGGCAATCGGGGGAGGTCCTGGACTACTGGAAAAGGGCAAATATAGTGCCCATCTTTAAGAAGGGGAAGAAAGAGAATCCAGGGAACTATAGACCAGTCTGCCTCACCTCGTTCCCTTGAAAAATCATGGAGCAGGTCGTCAAAGAATCCATTCCTAAGCAATCAGAGGACAAGGTGATTAGGAAAAGTCAGCATGGATTCAGCAAGGACAAGTCATGCCTGACCAACCTGATTGCTTTTTATGATGAGATGACTGGCTCAGTGGATGCAGGGAAAGCAGTGGATGTAATATACTTTGACTTTAGCAAGATTTTTTATACCATTT